GTAACCTGGACAGTACAGACTTTTATTATAGGGAGACTCTCCTGTAACATTGATTCAGACTTTTATTATAGGGAGACTATCTACCAGGTGTCATTTTCACAGTAATTATACCATGACCAAATTTTTTAGTAGCTCTATTTTGTTGACTTCATTGATTACTTGATTAATTTAATTAAATTTATGATTTTTTTTTACACCACAAAATATTTTGCGGCCGTTTGGAAATGGCGGGATTCATAGGTGAATAGTTTGACAAGCTGGATGTCTGGGGCTAGTAGATGATAAGTCAGAGCTGGTGAAAAGTTTCAATATTGACTAAAAATATAGGAAGAGCTAGTATGTATAGCTAGTACTCTCAATATGAAATTGTACACTCCTGCAGATAATGTTCAGACCATGGATTAGAAACAACAAAATTTGATACAGTAAACTGTCTACACAACCTGCTCTAGCTTTACTGACAGCAAGCCCTCATTATCACAAGAGTAATTAACCATAAATGTGTACCTCGTCCTGAGATAAAGCATTGTCTCCGTTTGAATCAATCTGTTTGAATATATTCTGGGGAGCCGGACCTTCCTCAATCTTTTCCAGTTCCACATCAAATACTAAAGTGGCCTTAGGCGGGATCTTGTCTCCTGAAAATAGAAAAAACATGTAGATTGTGAGCAACAAAATCATTCTCTCAGCTATCCAATTCTAAGCTGCATTTTTCCTCAAATATTTGAACAACATTAAAAGAAATAGGCGATTTTATTCTATGGACCATTTCATGAATGTTCCAAAGTTCACTTGACAAAAATCCTTTTCTCCAGAAACTCATTGCCAAATTAAAGTATGTTTTCCTTAACCACAATAATGCTTACCTTTAGGGACTTAAATTAAAGAATTTCCTTTGTTTAAGAAATAGTCATGAAACTAGTGTCTCCAACCGTTACCCTATCGGGTAGCTTTTGTTTCTATATGTATACTTTTATAGCATCGATATCAAATGGTGAAGTAAACAGGCAAATTTGTGGAACATATTGTAGGTAAACATTATTGATGTTAGGTTTAAACATGTGAGTATCGTGCTGTTGGGACATAATGTACAGCTTGAAACTCAAAGAAAATACCTCATTGATTGTCCGTACATATATGCACAAATCACAAATATCAGTATAGAAAGCATTGCTTTTAAGGATCCATGTACCACTGCCAAAAACTGGCACTACGCACGTGAACCTTTTTGCCGACAAGACTATAGCTTTGTTAAATCATTTAAAAAAAAATATACATATTACACTGTACTTCTATGTTGAATTAATAAAGACGAAAGTGTTTTGGGACAGCGATCTTCAAGTGAATAAAATATATCATTATATAGACTGATCATATAATACATGTATTGTTAACAGAATCCTAAATAATAGATATCCCAAGAGTTCTAATTGCTTACCAGCACCCTGGTCACCATAGCCAAGGTGAGGAGGGATGGTCAGCCTACGTTTCTCTCCAGCACACATGTCATCTAGACCTTGCTCCCATCCCTTGATCACCTGACCAATGCCCATCTGGAACTGGAAGGGTTGTCCGTGGTCACGGCTGGAATATTGTGACAAGTAGAATTGATAAATGAAATATTTCATTCCGCTGTTTCTTAATATTTTCTTCGTGTTAGTCAGTATAGATTGTATCTAGGTTTATGTAGCACAATCTGAGAAATTATTATGTGTGATGTACATGTATTATATCATATATATGTGTATCAAGTATAAGCCTACTTACTACTGAATTCTTTGTACTGGTAACAGAAAAAAATACCTCAATTGTCAACCAAATCTGCAACGTTAACGAGCAAATGATTTAACTGTATATATGCTATATATAACAGAGAAAAAAAATGATTTGCCTCAATAGTTTATAATTACAGTTAGCTGTAAAGATGATTGTAAATACAACTCTATAGATAATCTGTACGGTAGAAAATCCATCACTGAATCATGAACCATGAGACTAATCTGGTGGCATTTCCAATGGGGAAAATCGAAAAAATGCATGCTTTTTAAGAAAATATGAAGGCCTGGGTTCATGATAAAGTCCATGGCAGAGCCCCTGGACTCCTTTAGATCTGTTTTAAGTCAATAACATTAGCATCCCATGCTGTAGGGTCCATGCACAGGAGCACGCAGCTTAGTATTTATATTGATCTTAATATCCCAATACTTGTTTTGGCCCATTGTGATATAATTATATATATAACGTGTACCCTCCTTTAGATGCAACCCACATGTGTTCGTTACAAATGTTTGAAATACACATAAGCTATACTGTGTGCTGTGACCTATATCAGTACAGCATATATATGTGCATTTCAGACTTTTGTAACGAACCCCTGTGGTCCACGTGTACAACTGTTTGTTTTTTTGCGACGACAGATAAATTATAACGCCCTGTTCATTTTATATATTTTAACTTCACAGTAGACTAAAAAGTTATAATCCACTTTTTTAAATTCTGTGTGCCTCACCTTGAATCAAATTTCGTTCCATCTGTTAAGTAGCCAGTGTAATGCATGGACAACAAATCGTTTTTTTTCGTTTTCCTGTTACACTCCTCAGGTACCTCAACCTTTACAACTATCAATTCAGTGACATCCTCGACCCCGGATGGCGGACCGCTTTCCGAATCGTCTGCAAATACAGCACATATGCACAGGAATAGCACGAGGGATGTGGCAGCCATATTGAAGATACTAGTCACTTAGCAGTCGACAGAACAATAGATAATTTCAAGCACACGTCAGATGATAAGTAAGGTGAATTTAAGACGTGGCAAGCTCTCTGTAAGTTGGTCATAAAACACCTGCGGAAATGACCCTGAACAATTGACCTCTTGTGTACTTCTCGTTCTGATTGGCTAATTATAAATAGAAGCAATCCACGTGGACATGAAAATGACAACAGTACATGAATGTAGATTGCGATGATTGATGGAGGCAGTGATATGGGCGGGAATAATGTTTCATTGAAACACATATATAGGCCTATACGTGTATATGTAGTTCGCTATATATATCTAGAACTGAATTCGAAGAAATAGGTAATTTAGATACTATTTCTGATTCTCCGTAAATACACCATATCCAAAATATATTAGTTACATTAGTTACATATAAGTAACTGGAAGGAAAGTAATTTGTTATTTTGCATGGATGTGCTACAGGTACTTGCCTCGACTGTCAATACACCTAATGACCTATGATATATATATATATTGTAGGTGCATTGACAGACGAGGCTAGACCTGCATGTGTATGTGCCATAACCATAAGAACGGCTGAGCCCATGTTAGTTTAATTAATAATGATCAGTCATACCACGGAATTAGAATCTAAGTCCGTGGTCATACCTTTTTAGATAACATGAAGTCCTGTAACGTTTAAAATCAGTAGACCCTATGGAAAATGGAACTGCAGTCAGTTTTTAACTACTGAGATTTTATACGTTAGTCATATGTGACATATATAATTTGACCTTCATTAAAAATTTACTTGAGTTATGAAACTAAACCAGTACGTCTACTCTCTATATATAGATGTCTTAGAATACACATTAAACTGTTGTTTGACCAAACTGAGCCACTGCGTGCATGCCAGTGCACGTGCTCTTGTTTTGAAGAGTTGACCCAACTTAACAAACATGGTTATATATAGGACTTAAAAGTTAACATTAAACCGATGCCCAGATAGCATGCTATTGCCTAATGATGGCCCGATTGAGACGTATCGTTATTCGCTCCGTTGGGCCTACATTGGCATCGGCAAAACTTGCTAACGGACAAATCAAAATAGGTTATACGAGAACTACATAACTTTCAGAGAGTACATTTCTGTGTAAAGCTAAAGAAAAGTAACTCGACTACATCTGTTTTCATTTTGATATTATTTTATTACAAACGCTACTGCTTGGCGACATGAAAAGAATAATATCATGTTGCAAAAGTATTAGCATGCATTAATGTCCAACAAGTCATAATGATTCATCTATCTATTGATGACAAATTTTCATAATTCCATATAATTCAATAATGCAGATAAAACGTACGTAGGACTGAGACAAATATTAAACAACGTTTAGTTGCAATTAATCAAATACAGGTATATCACCAATACTGTCTACGTCAAATCCCATATTTATATGTTTTGCATCTTTATAGAGAAAATAATACGGGACGTATTTATGGTATAGCTATAGGGAGCGTCCGTCCGTTGAGACCTGGTCAATATTTACAATTTGTCTAATAAAGAAATCTGCAATAATTAATACGCAATGGAAATATCATTGGTTTTAATGGTGTAAGATGAATCGATTTTTGGTAAAAAGGTTTCATTTTCTATTATCAACCTTTGAATTATGTATAATTAGAAAGCAACTGAAAACAAGTTTTTTCTAAGGTCCTAGAGGATGTGTGGAATTTATTCCTGCAGCTTAAGTTGGTCAAGTAAAGTACGTATTCTCCTTTCACAACATTCCAGGAATAGTCCTCAACCTAGCTTACTCAGTAATACAGAACGAACGTTATTTCTCCTCGTCACATATCCACATGTTGAAATAACGCACCAGAAGCGGTACTCTTGTTGTAATATAGCAATGAAGTTGATGTGGAAACTGGTTGATGTTTTAAGACAAATTAATATTCTTTTCCATATTCATCAACAAATAAGCGATGTTCGATTCCGGTTGTATGTAAAAGGTTTGATTAAAACACATGATAGTCTGTTAACTATACGACATTAACAATGGAGACGTCTAAACATTTTCTTCGGGTTGGTAAGTATGGATTATGAAAAGTTCTTTTTACACAACCAATACAAATTTCTATAAGACGCTTCGATGACTACTACGATATGTACAATGTCACTTCCATCAGACAAATGACCAGTGAATAAAGGTGTAAAATGTGTACGAGTTGTCCACAAAAATCGATGTCGATTCGGCTACGCTGTAAGCGTATGTACAATAATTGGCTTCTTGAACAGATTGCTCTCTCTGTCCAAAACTTTGGAGTTATCCCAGTCACTCAATCACATCGTTTTTCTGTGTGGCATGGTCTGTGATTGCCGATTTATTTATCTGGGACTCCAGATAAACAAAGCGTATCTGAATCGAGACATTTCGGACAAATATAACAACTATTGTACATGCTTACAGCGTAGCCGAATCGACATCGATTTTGTGGACAACTCGTACACATGTTACAACTTTGTATACGCTTCATTGGTCATTCCTCTGATGAAGGTGACAGTGTACATATCGTACTAGTCATCGAAACGTCACATAGAAAAGTGTATTGGTTGTGTAAAAATAACTTTTCATAATAATTAAGAATAAAGACGTGTATTGGTGTAGGTAATCGATGTAGTTCATGGTAACTTTACCCCCACCTAATGAAAAAATGCATTTTTCATCAGACGGATATCTACGGAGCCCCCGAAGGGACATGGTAAAACATTTACTAAACCGTGCGCACGGATTAACAAACCGTGCACACGGATTATTAAACCGTGGGCACGGATTACCAAACCGTGCGCACGGATTGACAAACCGTGCGCACGGATTAACAAACCGTGCGCACGGATTAACAAACCGTGCACACGGATTGACAAACCGTGCGCACGGATTATTAAACCGTGCACACGGATTAACAAACCGTGCGCACGGATTACCAAACCGTGCACACGGATTATTAAACCGTGCGCACGGATTAACAAACTGTGCACACGGATTAACAAACCGTGCACACGGATTAACAAACCGTGCACACGAATTACCAAACCGTGCACACGGATTACCAAACCGTGCACACGGATTACTAAACCGTGCGCACGGATTAACAAACCGTGCGCACGGATTACGAAACCGTGCGCACGGATTACGAAACCGTGCGCACGGATTACTAAACCGTGCGCACGGATTACCAAAACGCCGGGTGTATCAGTTACCAGGAGTTATCTTTCTGTTCTCATTAGTTCTTCCCCGATATATGATAGCCAATTCCTACCGATCAACGGGAAGCCTACATTACGTAAGTATCGCGAACTTGACATAACTAACAAGGCAGATATGAAGATCTACTCAAAGAAGTTATTGATCCATTATTTGTTATTGATTAGCACCAAAATGTCCAAACATTTAGTGCTATTTATTGCATACAGTTGGTAAATTTATAAACGGGAGCACTTTGGTTTGCCATTTCTCATTTAAATTCGTTTACATGTGTATAACTCATCGCCCCTCCTCATTGGCTGATACTCTATATAGTAAGTGTGTTAGTATATTTCACAAACTGTGCATTATTGTATCGTTTCCCTCCGTGTTGTTTACATCTTATGTCAACTTATCACAAA